TTCAATAGATGGCATGACAAGATATAGTTTGCATCTTTACCTGAAAAAGTGTGATAAAATCCATTAAATCTAAATCCCAAACCCACGTTAGCAAAAGACCATTGCTATGTTCCTGTAATACTCCATAAGCAAACAAATTAAGTATATTATGATTTAATGTAATGTCATCGTCCACATAGCATTCTAAACAAAACTAAACTACACAACAACAATTACACACTCTCAATTCTATTTCAGCCACATTATAGTGCAATGTGGGAACCCAACACATAGGTGATATAGACATAGAATCTCTTTTCTAATCCAAGAGTCTTCAAACTTGGCTCTTTTATGACTCATGCACTTCATCTACCAGAATTCCTCAGCAAGCGTGCCTGACTGAGAGATTCTGGGAGTTGAAGTCCACAGGTCATAAAAGGGCCAAGTTTGAAGATCCCTGTTCTAACCTCTGAAAGTTAGAATCCTAAAAAAGTTGACTTTTTAATATAAAAATAAATGGACACAGAAGAAAAAAAGAAAAACATCTTAATTTAATCCTTTTTAAAATTTAATACTAAATATGAATGTAATACAACCTATGTAGGGTTGTATGTTTCTGTTATGCAGACATGTGTATAATGATATAATAGCAAAATGTAATAATTCAGTGTTTGAACTTCCAAGATTTAAGAACCTGTCAGCTCCTAGAATTAAAAAAAAACAAAAACTCAATATCATTTGAATATACTTTGTTTATGATATAAGAGGAGATTAAGAGAAAAAGGTCATGAAATGAAAATTTACTTGTCATCAGATATAAGCAACTCTGGCAAAATAAAAACAAAAAAAGGATTTTAAACTACATTAAAGTAATTTATATGGACTACTTTTTATTGGCATGTTAGTTAGGAAACTCAATTTTATTACTCATTTTGGTAATATGTGCTGCTATGTTAAAATTCATATTTAAATTGCCTGTGCTCTAGGCCTGTCATATCAGTCACAATATACTATTCATTAGAATTGATGGCTAATAAATATAAATAAATAAACTTTAGCTTCATTTGTCAAATGATTTTAAATGGGAAGGGGAGGTATGTTAGCTAATATGCATATAAAAGCTGAAAAGCTGATACTTCTCCTTTTTCCTTAGGAATGATACAGATATCACAATTCAATAAAATAATACAAAATAAAATAAATCAAGCATACTTTTTAAAATAAAAGGATTTTCAGAGAAATTCATGCACAATTACATACATGTTCCTAGAAAATTCTAGACTTGTTCAATCAAATTTGATTCAGCTTCTCCGTTCAAGAAAAAATGGAATTTTCAGAAGCTGAAAAGCCTATAAATCAATACTGATTTTGAAATATTCAATTTGATTCTCCATACCAATGTGATTCAAAAATACATTGACTTTAGAAATTCAACTGAACCAAATATCCAAACTGAATAATTCCACATTCCTAGAAAATTCAGATATTATACTGTGTCTTCTTCTCAACTTCCTCTTTTATCATTCTGGTGTTCGGCAGGTATTATACACAAGTTTAAATATATGTATGTATGTATGTATGTATGCCTGTACAGCAGATGGTTTTACACAGTGGTTTTAAGTTGTTAATTTCCAATTTGTTGTTGAAATGTATGATATGAATATTGTAATGTTTTATAATATTGACTATATAAGGCAATACTCATGAACTGAGGAGTCTATGTGAAGTGTTGTATCTATTATACCGTGATTAAGGGAAAACTGTTTCATCCAGCAAAACATTCCAAGAGAGCAAAGATACAAAGTTTTTGCCAGCTTCCCCTTTTTTATGTATCAAGTTTATTAGCTGCAGTCAGAGCCATCTCTAAACATCATACAATTCTTTTGTAAAATCAGATTAAAACAAAGCATGTATAATAATAATCCTAGGAGAAACTAATAGGGCGAAAATGTCAAAACAAAAAAAGCCACAACTAAAATACTATACTCACTAGACCAGAAATCAAAGTACAGGTCCTCACCAGTGGGAAAGGTCATAATAGTCCACCCATATTTCAAGAAGGAAAGCCATTCTGAGCTATTCCCAAAGAGCTATAGAAATTGCTCACCTTATTTGTTGAGTTGATCGTGAAGTCAGTCTTCTAGTCATTGTAAGCCTTCTTGAGAGATTGTAGAAAGCCTGCAAAGAACTGTAAAGTATGACTGGCTCCCTATTCTATTCAACAAAGTCTTTTTTTTAATTATTAAAAGTTTTACAAATTACAATATAAACCCTTCCCACCCAATCCCACCCCTCCCCCACTTCCCAGAGCTGATTACAGGGTAATAAATAAACAAACATAATCTAACTAACATTAACCAGCTATACTATCAATCAAAACTATAACACACTTTAACTCCTTTTCAAAGCAAATATTAACAAATTAAAAACGAAAATAATAATATAATTAAAACTATTAATAATTATCTAAAATCTACTCATATGCAAAATATGCATATGCAAAGAGCCGAGGTGGCGCAGCAGTTAGAGTGCAGTACTGCAGGCCACTTTAGCTGACTGTGTTCAGCAGGTCAGCGGTTCAAATCTCACCGGCTCAAGGTTGACTCAGCCTTCCATCCTTCCGGGGTAGGTAAAATGAGGACCCAGATTGTTGGGGGCAATGTAAATATATATATACATTGCTTACTGGTGTACACCGCTTAGAGAGTGCTTGCACTTAAAGCGGTATATAAGTCTCATAAATAAATAAATAAATAAATAAATAAAATAATACTTTTCAGTTTCATATTTCTTTTGAATGTAATCAATCCATCTTCTCCAAACCATAATATATTTTTCTTGTGATTGATCCTTCAAGTAGGCGGAGATTTTCGCCATTTCTGCTAAATTAGACACCTTAAGTATCCATTCTTCCAAGGTAGGCAGTGAGTTTTTCTTCCAATATTGCCCCACCAATAATCTTGCAAAGTCTTGATACACTATTTCATTAATAGAAAGTTAATAAAGTTCTTAGCCAAGTTTTTCTGTATGTAAAAATGAATAATATGATGATATGAATAATATTGAAGTTCCTCTTCTTGGGGCATGTTACTCACATTATTGTCATAGACATCTTTGGAGAAGTTGTTATTTAGGCTTACTGTAATTCTCATGGTATTTATACCTGTTTTCATTGTTACCTTCTGGAAGGAGGCTTCGTGGTATCCGAAGCAGAACATCCAGATTCAGTCACAGCTTGGTTCCATACAGTATTAACCTTGTGAACTCTAAAGCTTCCTCCTTCCGTTATGTATTCAAGATGGACAGTGAATAATATTTATGTTACTTATATGTAAGGGTGTAGGTCTATACCTATGTTGTATATAGTATGTTTTAAATGTCTTGTGCATTTGTACACTTTGAGAAGAAGCAACTAAATTTCATTTTTAATGTGTGCCATTGTGCCCACAGGAAAAAATGACAATAAACAGTAAACCTGTTGTTTCAGGTTTAGGGAAGAAATAATTTCTCATTCAGCACACAACATTTCAAGCATATGTTAATTTTTTTTGACAGAAACAGCAGTATGATTTAAAAGGACTACTGTATTTTATTATTATCTTAAAAAGCTGCAGTACAATCCTTTTATACCTAGTTGCTATAAAATAAGTTTCAAATATGCTAGATTGTTCCATTACAAAGCATCAAATGTTCTCTCAGGATGCCCATCCATGGTGTAATACAGTATTTTGCCCAACAGCTAATTTCTGTTTTCAAATTCCTAATTGTCCTTAGAGATGTATGATGGACTTCTGACAGACAGAGAAAGAAGCTGTCAGCTTGCAAAGTATTATATAGCCAAAACATTTGCAAAATCCCCACTGCTTCAAGAGGCAGTCAGGAACAAAATGCCTGCCACAACAAATTTACTGATAAGTATATCTTAAAATATACATATCCAACCTTCAAAATTAATGTCAAGCCCCTAACAGCTGCTCACAATGAAAAAGTCTAGTTTTTTATATAGTCTTATTAACTAGATCCAATCACTTCCTGCTACAAAAGGAATGTTTAGATGATCTGATCCTGAATTATTTTGCAAAATGCCATTGTCTTTTTCAGACTTTAGTCAATTATAGCATGGCATAGATCACAGACAATGGTGAAATTTATTTCCCTGTATTTCATGACAAAATTTATTAAACAAAAACAAAGGTTTGTTTTCCAGTACAATATTGTATTCTGTTTTTTTTCCATTATTTATATCCTGGAACTCTTCTGTTCCTCACATTTTATGCAGGTACAGGCCAATGTATTGCCTTCCAAAATATTCCTGCTATCATTCTTTGGTAGTTGTATGAGAGAATATTTAGTCCTTGGCTAATGAAAGACTTGGAATTAAAGAGAGATGAGGGACAGGCTTATACTGACTGAAGTGAGGCTCTCTTAATCATCTATGCACTCATGTAGGGCATCACAGTGCAAATACCACTTGTCATTTAAGTGCAGAGTAAAATTGCTCAATCAAGCATTATGCCCTGCAGTTGTCTGAAATTAGTTAATTCCATGCTGGACATGTTGATAGCTTTAGAGAAATAGTTAGCTATTCTTACATCTTGTAGAAATTGATTGGTTGAATGTGTGCCATCAGTCAGTGACAATTCTTAGTGGTAACATAGGTAGATTTTCTTCTGGACACTATGTTCCTAACCTGGTCCTTCAACTCTTCCAATGCTGCATTTCTTGGCCCTGAATCCATACATTTTGCTGCTGGTCCTGTCTTTTTATTTCCACCTTTCCCAGCATTGTAGACATTTCCAAGGTTAGGTCTTTGATACTATGTCCAAAATATAATAATTTGATCCTGCTCATTTATGCTTCAGGTAAAAACTGGGTTCATTTATTTATCAAATTTATATATTAAATTCATAGAAGATTTAGCTGAAAAATAACCAGACCTTTGAAATATAAATTGTTATATTTAGCAAATGTTTTACCAGCACAACATGAAAATGTCAAGTGAAACTCTACCTTCCTTTCAGAAACATGATGGCCACTTCACAGTCATCCAGCTTGTTGGGATGCTTCGTGGAATTGCTTCTGGCATGAAATATCTCTCAGATCTGGGTTATGTACATCGGGACTTGGCAGCTCGGAATATTTTGGTCAACAGTAATCTTATGTGCAAAGTCTCTGATTTTGGATTATCACGGGTACTAGAGGATGATCCTGAGGCAGCTTACACAACAACTGTAAGTTTATTTGGGTTTTTTTTCCTAATACAAAAAGGTCAGATGATGTTGAACAGGTATTTTACACTGCTTATTGCTTTATTTTGTGCTATATGGTTAATATAAACTAAATTATCCTGCAATGTTTGTCAGAAAACTGGGTCTTTTAAATGTTTTCTCTTAATCAGTGGATGTGCTCTCTTCCTCCCTTAATAAACCTTCACAGTTTTATTTCACTGTTGTCATCTTTTAGGGCTGCCATGCTACGAATGGGAATAGACATCCCACAGACCTCAGCCATCCTCTCCATGCAGCTGATCCAAGTGCTGCCTAAAACAGTGAGGCAGACGTGCACACAGAGGTGGCACCAAAAACAGCGCTCGGATGATCGCCATCCAATCGCCACACTGCCTCTTGGGAGGGCAGTGTCAGCTGCCAATGAAGCAGCAGGGAAGGCAGAAGGCAATCCCATCCACCAGATCAGCCTGGCGGGAGTGGGGTGGGAATCCGAGTGGTGCCAAAAACAATGCTCAGAGCCTCCAGGAGCTGCAAGGATCTGGGCATGCCCTTTGCAGTCATCCTCATGCAACACACAGCCTCTTCCTATAAACAATCTGGCTCACCCAGGGTCAGGTTGGCCATCACGGGAGACTCATCCCGCGTGTGCGGTGGAGCCGGAGAATGGGGATGGACTACACGTCTGGTGATGGCCAACCTGACCCCAGACAAGCTGGATTGCTTCAGCTGTGAAGAGCCTGGCCTAAAGTTTCCATCGCCCAGGCTTCCTGACACTGATGGAAACTGCGGCCCGCCATAGCTGAAGAGTTTAGCTGAGCCATAAAGCTGAATGCACCTACAAAGCAGTGGTGCACCCCGAGTGAGGAAGCGGCATGAAGGTATGAGTGTCTGTATTTTTGTGGCTCATGCGCAGAATTCACACCCGCCTTCCCATTGGCAATCAAGGAGGCTAATCATAGTAAATACAAATCATTTTTTTTGAAAAAAAAAGGGACAGATTACAATATTGATGATGAATGTAAATGAAAAACCTTCCTCCCCCACTGAGGAAAACCTGAGTCACCTCCCAGAGTGGGACATCTCAGGACACCCGGCCAGTTCCCACCTCCACCTGCCCACTGGATTTCCCAGTCCAGGGCATGGATAGAAAGGATGCAGCCTCTGCTTACCTCAGACCCTGGCTCTATTAATGTTCAGGCGACCTCACAGCGGTGGCACCGGCAGCAAGCAAAGCTGGGGGGGGAGGCATGCAATCAGGCCTGCTAAAAAACCTACAGTGGGATGAAGTAGGCAAGGTCTTAAGTAGGGCTTACTTTTTAGGGAACGGCTTATATTAGGCCCAACCCCCAAAATCAAGCTAGGTCTTATTTCCTGGGTAGGTTGTATTTTTGGGAAACATGGTACTTCTATGTTTGTGAAATTTATGAAAATGTGCAAAAATAGGGCTTCAATAATGTTAAAACTAAAATGTTCATAGTTTGGTTTTCTTAATGGCTTCTTTATGTTTAAAAAGCTATCATTGGACTTACCATCTGTTTCGAACAAAAGTAAACTGTGTCTTTTGAGTTGAGCTTAACTCCTGTTGACTTCATGGACAAAATCATGCAGTTTCGTGGCAACAGTGTAGAGATGATCTGTCACTGTGTTGTTCCAGGATATTTTCCTCAACTTTGCAATTTAGCCTGCATCTCTACATTTTATAATGCTTTCTTATCTAAGATTAACCAAGTCCAATTCTGCTTTGCTTTCTGAGTTCAGCAATGGTCAGCTAAGTGCTATAATCTTACTGGGTAAAATAGAATAATACAAGGCTAGATTTTGCAAACTCCATATTCTAGTAGTTTAAATAATGTCAGGAGTAAGAAAGTCAATTCATCTCAAAGAATAATAATCCACAGGATGAAGTAGACTGCTGTCACATGCTCCTGGTTCTGCCTGGAAAGCTAATAAATCCTGCATGAATCTGAAGCAGATATCATGCTTCACTTGGAGCACTTTCAAGTGCCAGCTTTCCCTAGTTTTAATTTCACTATTGGTTTAAACCTAATTTTTTATTATCATTTGGCAAAAAGCACAATTACCCAGATTCACCCTGCCTAAAAGATTTCATGTATTGACTGTTTGTAACAGTTCATTCTTAGTAGAGAGGAACATTTTCATCTGACTGAAATCTACAATAAGAGGAGCTGTAAAAGTTTCTGTATTACTCCAGGGGAATCAAAGTATCAAATTAAAAATCAAAGTATTAGTGTAAGCAAATATATCTTGATAATAGTATTATAAAAGTAACATAGATTTAGCCCATAGAGTTTATCTTACATTTTAATAAGAATATATTAATCTTCTTTTTGTATTTTTCATTAGGCTAACAGGATGCAGGTAGCTGTATAATAAACAATTACATATATTATTTCCATTGTGGCAACTTCAAGATGCCTGTACAAATTCTTTGTGATTCTTCTAGGAATTCATTAAAATAAGATTGTATTAATTGGTGCTAATAAATAATGTATGGTTGTAATTCATGTTAAAGATGCATGTGTTAGTCTACTCTGATTTGTTTTTACATAATGAAATACAGCTAAACTGGATGCAGGCTGTTAGTCACAGCTAGAACCCACTAAAATCAGTCTGAAAAGTTACAGCTGTCTCATTTCATTTTTTGGGATTTCAGTAGGCTTAGGTGTTAAGTGATTTATTCTGAATCTAGCCTAAGGATGACTAAAAATTATGGCTATAGTCCAATACAGAATTGGAAACGATGGATTTTAAACTGTGCCTGTATCTTTTTTAGATTGTAGCTTCAGTCAGGAAAATCTGCACTATGTGTCACAGACATGACTTTTTGTTATCAAATTAATAAAATTAAGATTAGTTTTAGCAAAAAACTAAATACTTTGTTTAATATTTGTCAGTAAATGAACACTTTATTATTGTCAAGTTATTAAAGAATAAATATTTGTTGCCTTTGACTGCCCCACAGTGGCTGAATTGGAATTGTACTTTTTTCCCAGGAAAAATACAATATTTCTAATTAGTTTGGGATTAGCAGACACAAATAGTTGCTCTTCTTACAGAAAGATAAATTAATGAACACCTTTATTGCAGATTAGTCAAATACTTATTTAAATGATTTGAAATCAAAGTAATCATTTCATACAAATCTGAATTTTTAAATAACCTACAGATACAATCAAGAACATAAATTTCACAAAAAACTAAAGTATTGATGTTGAAAGATTACCAGTTTGCTCAGTACTGTAAATCAATCTGATTAATTGATCTCAGTATGATAATCAGCAAAGCATCTCCGGATTTAATTTAAATACAATATTTATATCTCTGTATCAAGCATGGCATTCTGTCATGCTAGATAAGAAACTTAATTTATTCTTCTTCTCTAATCTTGAGGATGTTGTGGATGCATTATAATTATTCCATGCTTTGTGATAATCAGTTTCCAGTCAGGCAATTCAGAATTGTCCTAAACATTTACTATAAATTTCAGTTCAGTATTGTTTCTTATTGTATAGATTATACAATAATGTAGAGGTTGTATAGCCAATATTTTTCATAGTTCAGTTATTTATCAAAAGCAGTGACATTATTTCATTCCGATGGTACTCTTCAATAGAACTGTGTGAGTGGCTTCACAATTCACTTCTAAGTTCACAGATTTTTTGAAATCAAAGATCATTGCAAACAAGAGCTGCCATGTTGCCCCCTTTCTTGGTATTATCTATATTTGGCAAAACTATGAATCTACCAAGTTTTCCCACATCTCTTCTGATCTATGGTCTTCCATTGTTTAGACATTCTTTCTGCTCTTGCAGCTGATGAGAATATTCAAAACTGGGAATCTGGTTTGTGTGTGTATATTTTTGTTTAAAATGCTTCAAGCTTTTTAAACATACCCCAAAGACCATCAAACTGATAGATTTCCTACTCTGACTTCAGCATTATGAATATAGCAAGGTTATCCAGTTATCCATAAGCTACTTTCTTCCAAGCACAGGAAATGTCAATTCAAGAAAAACACAAAAGATAATGGTAGAAAGGATTTTAGATATTTCCAGTTTTCTTCCATATTACCATATTTCAAATAGCTTGAGAACAGTTTGTGTGAGATTTTTTTAATTAAAAAGGGAAGGTGATAAAGAAATGCAAGCTGCTGAAAATCTGTTTTGATTGCAGCAGCACAGAAATATGTTTAATTAATCAAATGCAAACATCTCTAAATCTTCAATTTCACTCTACCCATTTTCAGCCAACAGAAAAGACAAAGTGTTTTTATTAATGTTTTTTTTCCTTGTGACCTGGTTTGTGTAAACAATCCAGAGAGCACAACCTATTAGGTAATTTAAAGGTAAAAGTTAAGGTTTCTGCTGCCCAGTCAGGTCCAGTTCCAGGGGGTGGTACTCATCTCTGTTTCTTAGCTAAGGGAGCCAGCATTGTCTGAAGACATTTCTGTGGCCATGTGGCCAGCATGACTATATGCCAAGACACACAGAATGCTATTACCTTCCCATCAAGTGGTACCTATTTATCTATTCACATTTGCATGTTTTCTAACTGCTAAGTAGGCAGGAGCTGAGGCAAGTAACGGAAGCTCACCTCATAACATAGTGCTCAGATCTCGAATGCAGGCTGTCAGTTTTCCAGCTGACAAGCTCAGGGTCTTTAATCGCTGAGCCATTGCACCCCCTATTAGGTAGTTTAGAAATAGCATTAATATATAAATATCAATTTATGGATGTATGTGTTATCAGATTAAGAATATTTTACCATCACTATACTGAAAACAAATGAGAAGGTTTTTGTAATATTGATGGCTTAAAAAAGAAGCATAAAATGCCATATTATGTAATACTGTTGCCAAACCTAATTGATGTACTAGAGAAAATGGAATTTTATATGTATATTTATCATAAATTATTAATTAAAAATGGAATGTAAAGCTTTTTAAAGCTTTTGCTAAATGGGTACTATCAAAAGCTATGGAT